CAAGGATGCTAAACCTTAGCTGCAGCCTCTCTTGCTCCATGTCCCATTTGTGTGCCAGGTGAGAACTCAGTTTTAATTACTGAGCAATAACCTTTTTCACTCTCCCTTTGGAGCCACTGCTGTTGAACTATGCTGGCGTGCATTGTTCAGGATGCTGAGCCCCTGTGTGCCTCTGCCATGCCCAGACTACACAGCCAGGAAAGAAACACACACTTTGAAAAGCCCACACTTTGGAGACATGGTTGTGGTGGATGTGTGTGCCCATCTCTGCTGCTGGACACACTTTGAAAAGCCCACACTTTGGAGACATGGTTGTGGTGGGACCATCTCTGCTGCTGGGCACAGCTAAGACCAGGGAGCAGGCAGGTTTCTCTTGTTTGTTTCCTTCTTTCTGCAATATGGACCCTGTATCATTCCAGTAACATGGGTGTAATCATGTCTAGAGGGCTCAGCAGTTCTCCTTCCCCAGTTTGTACAGCAATACTATAGGCAGGGATACCTGGGTCTGATTCAAGAAACTGCCTTGGCAGGGCAGGCTCTGCTCATACCTGCTGGCTGGGCATATGCAGAACAGCACTTGTTGGCCTGGAAACTCCATTGTAGGAATTCTTTGGTGTGTGTGTGGCTTTTTTGCAACTTCGTGTTCTTGATGCGAATTTCTGACAGACTTGGTGTTTAACAGCTTGGTGTTTAAATGTTTAACAGCTTCCACACCACTCTGCCTTTCTTCCCCTTACTGTAATAGGGGCTTTGTAAAATACAATGAGAACCACCCTTGTGGTGTATCAGAGGTGCCAATGGGAAGGGTCCTTCTGTGAAGCAGAAATAGTTTTGCATTCTAATGCACTTCTGGACAGATTTTGGTTCTGTGTGAGGTTTGCATCCAGCAGAGAGGGGGGAAAATGTCTGTTAAGCAGAAATCTTTATCAAAATAATGACACCATAATACAGGCCCAAGTCCTGCTCCTTGTCACCACCCAGGTAATAATGTGGAACCAAATGCAAGTGCCACTCCTGTAGGAATCTCTGAACTGGCTGTGGTGGTGGTGTAAGTCAGGAGTGACCCCAGAAAGTCAAAGCATCACCTTTCTGCTTGTGTCCTGCATGGGGAAGGCACAGTTAGGTGCTGTGAGGTCAGGGATGTGAGCATGGTGTGGTCCTGCACATACCAACGCCAGGGCAGGACTCCACAGCCAAGGGGGAATCACTCCTGGCTGGAGTCATGTTCCCCCTGTTTGGGGGATTCCCCCCACCTTTGCAGCAGTCCTACAGCACAGGGGCTGGTTTGCTGCCCATGCTGCTTGCCCTTGCTGCAAAAGGAACCATTGTGCAAACAATACCTTTGATGGGGGAAGGCAAAATTCAGGACTGGGCAAAACTGAAAGCAAAGTGATCCCAGGTGAGGGAAGTGAATCCTGCCTGAGGATGTAAGGGATGGCCATGGGTGTTATGAGAAAATCCTCCTTCAATGGGCATCTGTGCCGTAATGCAACTGCATTTCAGGCAAAAGGCACATGTGATTTGGCAACAGATAAAGGCTAAGTGAAACTCTTCTTGTTTATTTTTCTTAGCCTTACAGCTCATTACTGGAGCGGCTGGGTTTCCTCCACAAAAATTGCTAAATTTAATGACATTGAAACAGCTGAAAGGTAAAGCAAAGTAAAGCTGATCACTTCCCTGTTTTTCTAAAAATTTCAGACTTTCAGACTTCAAACTTTTCTTCTGTTTTTACTCAATCTTTATTAATTTTAATTAAAAACCTGAAAATCGTGGTTCAGTACCAAACCAAGCATTTCATTTCACATCAAACTGAAGTGCCAGTAGCAATAGTAATCATATAAACAGCCATTTTCTTAATACAGTATTTAATATTAATACAAAATAATAAAAATATTAATACAAAAAATAGGAAAAAAAAAGAAAGGGACATACTGAGGCTGAATATCTTGTTTGGAGTGGGGGACTCAGAGGCTGCCCTGGTGACAGCAGCAAGAACACAAGTGCAGGCAGTCCCTTTCACTGACAGAATAAGATCATACAGTCAAATTGTACAGTCACAAGACTTACAGACAGAGAGGCCCTTCTGGGGTGGAATAAGGAAGCTACAGCCCCTCCTTTTCAGCATTAACAGCAGGTCAAGGCCCTGGATCACAATTCTCTCCTTCCAGTTATAGAAAGCCAAAGTGGTTTTGCTTGATGAAAAGAAAAACATACCTAAAGCCTCAGAAGAAAATATCAAACTCCCTCCCCCTGGTGAATTAGGTATTTTTTATAGGATGACATTTTGAGGGAAGCAAACATCATGAGAGCCAGTGAGCGCTGGGAGATCTGTACGTGATACATGATAAACTGAAACCATAGCAGTTTTGGGTGGTTTAACTGTTTTAGCAGGCAGATGCTGCGGCTGGGAGGATGTGGGGATGTACTTACAGTCCTGCTGCCCTTATGGACTGAGCAGAGTGGGAGCAGGACCTCCCCATGGAGTGAGCAGGGAGCAGGACCAGTGCTTGCCTTGCCCTGGGCTCTGCCCGTTGCCTTCACCCTGGATGGTTTTGTTTCCTGTGCTGTGGTGGACAGCTTCACAGGCAGCAGTTCCTATCAGGCATCAGTTGTGGACCACAAAGTGAGTCAGATCAATAGTCTCACTGCTGTGATGTCCTTTTGGTTAGCACGGTGTCCTGGTGGCCAGAATTGGGTGTCAAATCAGCTGCCCTTGGCTGGAGACTGAGCCTGGCTCAGCCCCTCTTGGTAGTGACAAGGTTTTCTACAGCATCCCATTATTGGTGGCTTCTCCTTTGCATCAGAAACAGACAATAGACTTGCTGGTTTTCCTCTGCCAGAGGGGAAGCAGCTAGAGATATCTCCCTGATGCAAATCTGCACAGCCAGGTGAAGAGCACAGCCACCCATGGATGTCAGGGCCCTCACAGGTCTCCAAAGATCTCTCCAGTATTCAGGTCGTGAGTCCTTGTAATAAAACCACACTTGCTTCACTCTTCCTATCCATCTTTAGAATGAAAATACTTGTGAAGGTAAAACCACACTACTTCCAAGTCCTCTTCTTGGTCCATTTTGGTGTCCATCTGTTTTATACTAAAGGCTGAGGAATTATGTTCATCCTTTGGCTATCCAGTTCCCTTTCTTCTCTCCTTCAGACAGTGTCACTCCATGTGAAACTTCATGGAGGTGACTTGGACCAGTTCTGTTTTGTGGATTTTAGAGATGGTGCCTGGCAGCCTGCCTGCCTGCCTGATGGTCAGGCAGGAACTTGCTCAAGCACTGTATCAATAAAAATGGATATATAGACTGTTCCTGGCCTTATAAAGGAAAAAAAAAAATCACTGTACTGCTTAATTTTAATTTTTATTTTTATTTTTATTGCTACCTTTGCAAGCACATGTGGCAGTTTGACAGGAAAGAGGCTGGGCCAGGAGGTGCAGATGTTACACTGCTCAACACAGTGAATCTTGCACCATTTTGGTCGAAAGCATTCTTAAAAGTGAAGAAAACCTTAGCATTGGCTTGAAGCACAGAGCATTTACATTTTACTTTGCCCTTGAGGCCAGCTTAGATACCAGCTGCCCCCGCAGCAGAAATGTGCCTGGGCTGCCCATCTTTGGCACAGCTGAGACCCCTGGCAGGGCAGGTGTCAGAGACCACCAGCTCCAGCCTTGCACTGCCCCTTCTTGCTACCAGAGGGTGCTGGCACGTCCTGATAATCCATTATTGTTTGATGTAATTGAGGAAAAATGCTGCATTTATCTTCTGCTCAGCTAAGCTCAGTTTGAAGAAAAGTTGCTGCCGTCACAGCTTGAGGAGAACCTGTCCAGAGAGGTTAATGACAGAAGATGTTTATACAGGAATGGAGCTTCCCAAGGAGGGAGATGGGTGGAGGAGAAGTCTCCTCTAGCTGTCACTTTAATTTCCTGTGTTTAAATGATCAGTCCCCACCTTTTAAGAAGGTGTGTTGGGTGAGAGCTTTGCCATTTGTGGTGGTGTGAAGAGAATAAACTGATGCCTCCAGCCCCACTCATGGAAGTCAGAAGCCCAACATCTGCCATGGGCTGGGGGGCCCTGTCTTTGTGAAACAGCCTCTGGCTGGGGGTCCCTTTAGTTTAACAAAGGGAGGGTGTACCAGAATGAGGGAGGCTTGTGCTACCTTCTGTGCTGCCCAGAGTGAGACGTGCCCTGGCAGAGCCACAGCACAGTGGTGTGGTTACCCCATGGGCTCTGAACCTTCTTCACTCACACCCACACAGAGATTGCACCCAGCCCTGTAGCAGCACCCAAACCTCTTATGGGTCTCCAGCAGTGTCATGGCAACCTTCTAGCCAGGAACTTGGATGGAAAAAGATATGCTGGCAATCTTCTGGAGGCAAGGGCTGGAATGATGTTGTTTTACCTCCAGATGCCCAGCCAAATTTATGCATCAGCACAACTTCTTTCCCCATCCTGACAGCCTGAGAAAAATTGTTCCACTGCTCTTCTACTGAAATCACCTTGGAGGAGTGGGGACCTAAGGAGTTTTGGGGCACAATTACCTGTGCAAAGACACCAGCAACAGCTTGGAAGACTGTGAGCCAGTGGACTTGAGAGGTCATTGTCATTCCTGCTGCCCATGGTACTAGACTGTGGTTGGACGAATTGATGGACCAGGGTTATCTGTACCAGTGAAGATTGTATTATAAAAGCAGCAGCAGATGGATGCTTGACATAAAGGATTATCCAGTGCTGCTGACCTGCACCAGGGGCTGCCCTTCAGAGGGCTGGCATGGGGTGCCAGGCAGCTCCCAAGCTGTCTCAAGTGAAGCCATTATTCTAGTTGGACTGTATTGTAAGATGCCAGGGTTTGCTATGTTAGTGGGAATGCGATCAGAAATGCCTATGTAGGAGACACAGCACACAAACAAAGGTAATTTTGCAGTTTTTCACAATTTGACTAATATTTCTGGGAAGAAAAAAGGGCTCCTGATGGTGATGTTTATTAAACATTTCTTCTAGGTAGCTGCATCCTGTTGTGTCCTGCTCTGACCCTCCATGGGTTCCAGCTGTCTTCAGCTGTCCCTTGCCCTTGCCTTGTGAGCCATGTGAAACAAAACAAGAGTAAGTAAGCATGAAGTGTGAATGGCCTGTGCTGCAGGCCACCCTCGGGCTCCCTTCTGCAAGAAGGTGTCAGCAGCTCTGGAGACCTCCAGGTGGGACAACCTGCTCCACACCCCTGCAAAAACCTTGTGTGGCTGGAGGCACCAGGCCCTGGTGCTCGCTAAAGCAGCCAGTGTGGAGGGGGGCAGAGGAAGGCCAATCCTCCAAGATCTCTTTGTGGTTTTCAAATGGATGGACTTGGACTTCAAGGCAAGCAGAGCCCACTGAGCATCTTGCTTTCCTCTTCCCAGGGGAGCATAGGAATGGGGATGATCTTCCTCAGCTTTCTCATGTGATGCCTCAGAAAGTCTGATGATGCTGCTCGAAGTCTGGGTCTGGCTGACTGCAAAAAGTGTTACCCAGCTTTTGTTCCCTTGGCTTTGCTTTCCTTTTTGTTCTCCCTTCTTATTTCTTTCTCCTGCTGGGTAAAGTGAGCATTTGAATCTCCAGCAAATACAGACTTTAGGCAATTTAACATAACCACGGCTCCCCTGCAGTTGGAAGAGTCCAGCAGAAGGACTGTGCTGAGCTGCAGTGACTTGGTGGCCCTTTGCTGGTGTTCACCAACACTGGATCTGGCAGTGAGAGCATTTGCATGTCCTCTTGCCTGCTGCCACCAATTCATGCCTCCTGTGCTCGTGCTGCCTCCCTCTCTGGCAGAGACACAGGTCTCTGTATATGAAGATGTGTGTGTATATATATATATAAATGTCAACATATATATATACTTATCATAATGTGTGACAGAAGCAAGATTAGGTTTACCTTTGGATATATCTGTGGTTTTTCTGGCACTGTGATAATTTGACCTCTCCCAGCTCTGCAAGGAGAGGAAGCTGACTGAACGTTTATTACATTTGTAGATTACATATGCCCATCTACAGCATATGTTTACAACAAATTTATAGACCCCTATAAAGGGGCTAACAGGCATTATATTTAATTAATGTGGCAGAAATTATATCATTGTAATAACTGCCTGGCCTTTAGAGGTAAAACTTAGTGCCAGGGATTCCCAGATGAATCATCTCTGATAAGAACCAGAAATGACATAGGCCATATATTGTATGGTGAATTTGTTTGGATTGGTACCTTTAGGGTATTCAGCCTTGCCAAGTCTCTGTGGTGCTGACACAGTTTATTACACATTTTCATTTATTAAGAGATTATTTGACTGCAGTTTGTTGTTTTATTGTACAGCAGGTGATAATTTTACACTAAATTAACTGTAACATCTCTGTTAGGAACAGGCCGAAGAGGCTTCTTGCTATGATGCTAAATACTAAGTAATGGCTTTTATTCATCAGGGGAGTAATTTACTGCCATGTGCAGGGCTTGAATAAGACTTTCCACTTACCTGTTACTAGTCTGTGCTTGTTCAGGTTAGGGTTAAGAGTCTTCTGCCAACACAGGCTCCCTCTTAAAAACAGATATCTGTGCTAAAATTTCACCGTTTTCTACTTTCAGGCTAGACTAAAAAATTATTTGAGGCTACTAAATCTACACACAGGCAGAGAAATGGCCATGGAGGTCTGGAGATGGGTGATGCTTGTTATGTCAGTCTATGAGCTGGGATTTTAGCATCAGAACAGGTTACAGATGGGCAGGGAAGGAGTGAAAGCTCCTTGCACGGTTTGACTCTTCAGTAAAATAAAAAGATGTTGTTTCCACCCCTGGCTTAAATATTTGTTATTTCAACCAAATAAATAATTCAACCAGAAAATAATTTTCAAACCCTTTATGAAAACAAAGAAAAAAATAAGCAACAATAACCATGCCTCTTTCCCCCCCACAGAAGTTAATAATTTTTGAAGGAAAAATATTTATTCAAAGCCCTTTTTTCCATTTAAAATAGATTACAGATGAAAATAATTTGCCTATCCCTTAATGAAATCCATTATACCAGACTAGTTTCGTAGTCTGTCTCACACAGATACCATTGAGTTAAGCTTTGTGTTGGGAGATGGGAATTCCACACCAAATTGAATTGGAGACTGAAGCAGGAACAATTATGGCTGCAAATTATTAAAGCTTTGCTATATTGGAAATCCACAGCGTGCTTAGAGCAGTAACTTACTATTTAGAAGAACCACACTACAAAGCTAAAAAATAGAGGAAAAAATCAGAACCATATTGCTTTGATCACAAGTCCATGTTTAAAGAAACCAATCATTGGCAAAATAATCCCCTTCCCAACTGCGCCGTGGATTAGCTTTGGTTAATGCTAACACTGCCTTTATATGGAGCACATCAAGGGAAAAATTATCAAATAAAATCTGGGGCTGCCTAAGTAATTCACAGTAAATAATGTGCTGGAGGGAAGCCCCTGACACACACACACACTCACACACTCTCTTGCTCTCACTTCGGACTTTTCTGAGCCAGTTCTGCCTCTGAGTGCAGGGCAAGCTCTGAGTCACACACATCTGCTCTGACTGGACAAGCACATCGAGTGTTATATTTCCAGCTACTGAAAGGATGATCAGAGCTCCTAAATTAGCTGTCCAGTGTGAAGTTTTTTATGATTAGTTATTCCAAGTTGTCTTCTGGGGAATATTTTTTGGGCCTTCTTTTAAAATTTGCTGCTCAGATTGCTGTGCAGCAAGCTTGTTAGCTGGAGTGCTCATGGAAAGCTGCTCCCAGAGCAAAGCACATCCATATGCTGAGGATATGAAATAATATTCCTAACTCATTTTTTTTTGCAGTATTCCCCAGATCTACTGAATGGGTATGCCTCTTTTATTTATTTGGGGGTGTTATTGATTTTAGATGAGGGAATGTGAGGCTATAAAAATGAATGTTGTCTTGTTGCCTTTTGGGAATGACATCTGATTTTCATCGCCCTTCCCCAGTTTTTTTGGAGTCTCTGTTTTCTGCAAAGGGAATGTACAGAAAAATTCAAGCTCATCCTTAATGTGTTTTGTTTTTTGGTTTTTTTTTTAAGAGCATGAGCAATACCAGCCTATGAAACAAAACTCTCCCAGGCCCCAGGCCTGGGAATTAAGTGTTGGTGAGTGGGAGGCTCTACCCATGCATCCCAGCTTAGGTGTGAACATTTGAGGAAAAAACTTGCACGTTTGAGAGTGGAGGAGGTGCATGGCACTCCATGGACACCACAGGCTCAGCTGCATGTAGGGGACACTTGAGAATGAATCCTTTGCTGGACAGCTACAAAAGCTGCTGCTCCTAAAGCCTCCAATGAAAAAAAGATGAGCAAATCTGGGAGTAAACTGAGATCCAAACAAATTTTTTGTGTATATTCAACATATTTTTTGGGGCATGGTGAGATTTTAAATGCATTCAATCCTTCAGAGGGAGTTTCAGTCACTATTTTTAGAGGGACGTGGTCTTGTGCCTGCCCTGCCTCAACACTAACCCAGTGCTGTCCATCCCTGTGGATTTTAGGCAGCATAAAAAGCACAAGGTGAGCTTGTAGAGCCCTGAGAGATCCCTGAGTGAGGGCTGTTCTGCAAGGACCCATGGAGATTACAAATCCTGTTGTGTTCAGGCAGGATTGCACACACTGAGGTGAGCTGGCATGAGTGACATGAACATCAACTAGATCATGCCTGTTTTTAACATCCAGCAAAATTATTAGAACCAGTAGTGTTATCATCTCTAGGGCTAAACCCCCCCTAAAAAGAGAAGGTACTGTGGGACACCCCATACAAAGTGATGCTTGGAGGTCACACCACAGTATATGATATTGCATTACATTTCAACCCATCTACCATCCCTGCAGCCTGTTCAAAGAACTGTAAGTAAAAGCTGAGCTGCTGATAACCACTTTACAAATGAAAACCTTGATTTTATTTGATGGTGTAAGACTTGTGAAGAAAATGAGGGAAGAACATAGAACAGAATGAATTTTATTAGTCGAGTAGATGTGGCAGAATAATTACAGTTTCTGGGAGAGTGTGGAGAACAGTGTAAGAAGGCTGGAAAAGAAATAGCAGCTTAAAATGTGATTGTCTGTTTGGGGTGATAGTAAAGTCAAAAGTGCCATTTCCAGTGTAAAATCCCTGTATCCAATACTAAAGAGCATTAGAGCCTAAATAAGGATTTGAATACAAATGTCTTCAACTCCAGCTCACCACAAAATTAAAGGATCTGTTCCAGGAAATACAGTGTCTGCATGAAGAGAGCCCCCTAGATCTCTGCCTTTGAAGCTTAAGTTTTAATTTGGGATTAAAAAAAAAAAAAAAAGTTGCACAGGGCCCTGCAGGAATCTGACACAGTATCCTGGAAGAGATCCTGTGCTGCTGAGGGCTCGAGCAGAGCAGGATTGGGGGTCTTGCCACTTGCCTGCCTGGAGAAGGAACACTGCCCATGGTGATGCTGCTGATGCAAGAGTGATTCAGCTGTGAACATGGAAAGAAATGCTGAATATGAGAGAGAAGCAGGGAATCCAGGGCAGGCAGGATGGCACACAGGCTGGCTGAGTCCTGCTGATGCTGGTTTTAAAGCCAAACACACATGGTTTGAATTACGGCTGGCCTCCCTCTGTCCAAATGCATTGCAGATTATGGATGATGTGGGTTTTGCATGGGTAATTTCTTCTTTTTCATCTCAGTAGAAGGCAGCCCAGGAGACACCATCATGTATGATGTGAGCATTTTTCTTGTGCTCTGTGTTTGATTTAATCAAAAGAGCTTTCTTAGCAGCCTGGATACACTGGGTGACCACTTCTACTATTCTCAGCATTTTGCAACATGATTATTTTGCCAGTCCTCTTTTATGTGCAGGCTTGAGTGCACTCAGAAGCATCAGGCACAGCTCATTGATTTAGGGTCATCTGATCTGGGATGAAATAAGACAGTGGGCAGCTTTTACCATGGTGTCTTCACCTCCTGGTGTAGACAGGGCTGGAAGCAGGGTCTTCTTCAGCAGGAGCCCATGGGTGCTCCTGTCAAACAAGAGCCCTCACTACTGCAGTGCTGTGTCCCAGCAGCAGTGGCAGAGTCCCTGGATGCAGGGCATTTCTTAGCTGGGAGCTGAGGCTGGCCCACGGCTCCAGTGGTGGCCTATGGCTCCAGTGGTGTCTCACTGTCATGGTTTGTGGCCTCTCTGGTGTTGTCCCCAGGCAGGTGTCACAGACCCAGCAGCACCAGAAGGCTCTGCCTCAGGGTGACAGTGGAGATTTGCTGCCCTGCCTCACTGATGCTCTGCCAGCTGCCCAGTTGCTCTGCAAGCAATCCTGTGATTGGAGTTTGTTTTTATTTATTCCATTACATAAAATATTCAAATTTGAAAAAGCAAAAAAACCAACCCACAACAACATCAGGAAAGCCCCCATTACCCAAAGGTGTTTCCAGAGAAGGATATTTCCTATTTGCTCCTGCTGGGCAGGGTTGCTGTCCCTTTGTCCTGTGGTGCAGTGCTTTCCATTTTGAGGTCTGATGTTCATGGGTCAGACCTGGATGCAGGAGCCTGTCCAAATTAGGGTCCTGCTAAGCCTGGCTCATGGACCACTTGCAAGCTCCCTCCACAGTGAGTATATGCAAATTCACTGATTGTATTCCTTGTCTTTCTGGAGCTTGTTGTGCAACTCAGGATTGGTTTCTGAGTCATCCTGCTGTGATCCCCAAGTCCTGCAGGGAGATGTGCCAGTATGAGCCACATTAGTGAAAAGAGCTGGTAAAGGGGTCGCTGACTTCATTTTAGCCAGTGGGAGATTTGTGCAATGCAGCTCAGCTTGGGCTCTGAGGGCAAGGAACCTTTGGTGAGGAGAAGCTGAGAGCAGACAAGGGTTAATTTTTTCACCTGAAAAGCTGCATTTTCCTGAGGAGGGAAGAGCCTCAGAATCTCTCCTGTGAGCTCTGGAAAACATTTTGAAAATTTTTTTCTTCTTCAAATAAAGAATTCATTAAGTTTTCTGTTCCTCTGAGTCCCTGTGCTTCCCATTCCCAGAGGCATAATATTGAGCCTAATCACCAACTAGAACAACTGAGGCCTTTCTTTTGGTGTAAAGCTGCATGAAAAAAGAAAGTCCCCTGTGTATGCAGCTGTAACACTTGCATAATTTCAAGAAATATGGAGAAACTCACGACTGATTTCCAAATCTGCGTCTTCCTTTTTCCTATAATGAGTGTGATGCATAATTTACACAGGCAAGAAAATGTAGGAAGCTGATTATTTTTTTCTTTGTGTTTATTTTCATTCAGTTACAGAAGGGCTGGAACTGCAGAGAGCTGAGATAAGAGCCCTACCCCTTCCTTGGTGCTGTGAGCACGATATGAAGGATGAAGAGGAACTCAAGGTACAACCACCAGGACTTAGTTGGGTCTTTCCAGCAGTTATCAAAAACAAACTATGTCTCATCTGTTTCCTGTCTCGAATAGGAGGAGCATGAGAGTCATGGAGTGAAATGCTCAGTGAATTTGGGGGCAATCACAGCCTCAGCCACTGAGATACCTGGCCACACCCACAGCTCTGGCAATAAACTGCTGACTACAAGGAATATTATAAAAATTCCTCCCTGGATGTCACAGACAAGTCGATGGTTTTGCATATGTTGAAAAGTCCCTGGCTAATGACATATTTCCTCTTTGGGCTGACTCATGAGCTGCTTCTCCTTGTTGCTATGAAAGTTGGAAGCACTTCAACACTGTGTGCTGCAAGTACATTTCATGAAAGGAGAGGAAAATCTCAGTATTATTTCTGCATTCACAGATTTGACCCTTTCACTTTTGCAGTCGGTGAGCTCTGCCACTTTGACATTTATTAAATAGCTTATTAGTGGCAGAAGGAATGGCAATAAAATTTGTGTGTATAATTTAAAGCAAACAATCTCCACTCTTAATCCGGCCTTCAAGGCCTGAAGTAAACAACCACATTTCAAGGGAACGCTACTGAGAAAAGGAAAGGTCTGGTGCGTGCTACTTGCTTTTAAGCATTGAGACAAAGTGTTTAACAGCCTAAAAGGTCTAAGCCCCTCTTGTTCTGGGGAGATAACAGCTCCATTAGTTAGATGATCAAATATTACTTTATTGGTAAAGTCTTGTATTGGCCTGGAATGGCTTGTGCTTGCTTCTGAGACATGTAACTCAATTCTTCTGAGCATTTATCACATTCTATAATATAATATAGATTATTTAATGTAATTGCCACAATTCTCTAATTTAAGTAATAATTGCATCAATGTTGTGTGTTGATTATGACCTTGTTCAGGGTATTTATCTGTGCTGATTTTCAGCAACTCTCAGGGAAAAGAGAAAAAGGTCTTTTCATGATGTACAAGATTGACACAGTGTCAAACCATGTTTTCTGTCCTCACCGGGACAGGTGAGACTCGTGGGTCTGTGTACATGAGCTCAGTTTGAGTTAGCACCATGCCAGCACATGAGCAGAGGGAAATGTGAGAGAAAAGAGGCCGGATAAAGCCCTAAGGGCTGCTGACACAGAGAGCAGGAGCCGACCTGGCTCCACTGCATCTGACTCCAGAGCAGGGGCAGTTCATATGGAGATGGACAGCACCTTCCTCTGTGTCTGTGCCCTGGTGTACTGGTGGTTAAACCACCTATGAGCTGCTGGTGGCCAGAGGTTACAGCCCCGGGGCTTAAGGGAAACTGAAATCACTGCTAATTCACCTTGAAAAGTGGGCTGTAGGCAGAGTGCTCGGGGCTGCGACCAGAGCCAGACTGGGGAGCTGGGGGCACACACAGTGGCAGAGCTGTGCCAGCAGAAGTCACTTGGCCCTCGAGCCAGCAGCAGGCTGTCTTGCAGGGACGTGGGCTGCACAGACTGGAATCGCTGGTGGATTTAAATCAGTCCTAGCATTTCACAACCTCTCCCTGCAGCTCCCTATGCAGGGCCCCTATACATTTGTGTACCATATAGCTCCTTCACAGCCTGCAGTACTTTTAACACATCATATACACGTTTATCTCAAAGCAGGATAGACACCAATTAACACTGCTCGTTAATGAGGGCACAATCAACTTGCATAACCTTGAACCACTGAATGCACACAGTGATGTATGAATGAGAGGTTAACTGCAGATGACAGCTCATTTCTTTTTGCTCTTCTGCCCAGAACATCCTGCCAATACACACATTATAAATAACATGTTCTCGTGATGGTAATGGGGGGGCATCTCAGAAGCAAGCATTGCTTATTTTTTTAGGAGTGATTACATGACATTAGGGGGTTCAGCTTTAATACCATCTGTTACCTTGGCTGCTGGGATCAGCTGTTTCCGCTGCAGGATCTCCACTGCTGGTACCCTTGACCACAGCCCAGTTCTGCATTCTGAATTAGAGAGTTGAACGTGAAACAAATTCGCATAAAACCCTACAGAAAAGGGCAAGTTGCATTTTTGATGTGCCTGAGACACCGGTGCCCATGTGACTCACAGTTCACGACTCACAGAGTGGTGTCATTCGGAATTCGTGTAAGCGCTCACTTGCTCACCCACACTCCCGTGTTGTATCCTGCTTTTCCATGCACAGCACTCAGCCAGCCACACAGCCCAGTTAGCAACACGCTGTCTCTGCTCTCACACAGACTGCCACACCAGTGTTCCTTCTGTGGGGAATAGATTTACTTGCTGTAAGGAGCCATCTAGTGAGGGTTTACTGCACATAAAATTAAAGTAACTGCTTCTTTACTGTTTGCTGGCAATACCAAAAGAAAACATGCTAAATTCTTCCCCTCTTCCCCTGCTTCCATGTTCTCCTTGCCACACTTAAGGTGCAGCAAAAGCAAATGTCTTGAGCAGGTGGGGATGGGCAGGACGGAGCGCTGATTCCTCGGCTGCCCCTGTACAAAGCACAGGAGCACATGAACTCACACTGGCTCAGCCCTGCTCTCTCAATGTGCTCACCATGGCTCAGCCCTGCTCTCTCATGTGCTCTCCCTGGCTCAGCCCTGCTCTCTCATGTGCTCTCCCTGGCTCAGCCCTGCTCTCTCAGTGTGCTCAGCCTGGCTCAGCCCTGCTCTCTCATGTGCTCAGCCTGGCTCAGCCCTGCTCTCACATGTGCTCTCCGTGGCTCAGCCCTGCTCCCTGGGGACCTGCACGGAGCCAGCACAGTCTCCAAGGACCTGCCCTGGGCGCTGGCAGCAGCGAAAGGCAAGAGTGTGGGTGGAGAGCACAGGGAAGGGCAGAGAGGAAAGGCTGTAAACCCGGTCCCGCTGCGGTGTGCGGGAGCTGCAGGCAGAGCCGGCCGGGGAAAGTGCCCGTCGTCACGCAGGCAGCGGTGGCATAGCTGGGAGCTTAATTTAATTGGCAGAAAGCTGAGCTAGAGCTTCCGTCAGCACACAGATGAAAGAGAGCAGCGTCCGAATGGTGGGCACTTCTTTCAAGTTTGCTTTTTAGGTTTTGTTCTTTAAAGGGCGAGGAGCTCGTGCAATTACAATGCCAGAGTAGAGTTGAGTGTCTGTGCGCTGCAGAAAGCTGAAGTTACTGCTCCCGGAGCATCAAAAGCACAGCTACACTGCAAATTCGTATTGTTAGGAGCTGTGCAGTCCGCAAAGGGACCAAGCACGCCGAGTTAAATATTAAGCCCTCACCCAGGGAAATGACAACAGCTTTGCCACAGGTTAGAAGTAAGATTTTGTGTTGTGCTCTGAAATTTTCCCCAGTGAGCTCAGCTGGGTTGCAGGGACAGGGCGGAGGGGCAGCACTGCCTGTTTCAGGTGTGCTGGAACAGCCTCCAGACTGAAACCGAGCAGGCACTGGGGTCTCCTTCGAGGAGATGGATGCTCCACAGCAGGCCATGGGCTGGAGCCTCCACCGTGACATTCACTGAGGGGCCTCCTCTGGTCCCTGGCTCCTCTGGTCCCTGGCAGCCTCCTGGGGCGAGTTTGCAAGCAGGCGAGCAGCTGCACAGCACTTGGAGCAGCCTCACGCTGTGCTGGGGCTGGAGTGATCCTCCCCATCTCCTGCCTGTTTGCAGCGCTGGCTCTTAGCAGGCAGCTTTTCTGCTCCTGCACAGCTCAGCTCCTGCTCTCCCACGTTGTCCTCAGCTCAGTTCCCTTAGGCACAACTGGCCAGCCCTCAATGGAGAGCTCCAGCTCCATGGCACGCTGGAGGAAAGAGAGGCTGAGATGTTTGACAATGTGATACACAACAAACAGGACAGTCATTTTTCATAGCTACGATGCATATCAGGATAGGCAAAGTAATCCAACTTTTATAAACAAGCCCGTATTCTACAAAACCCAGACACTTTCTCATGCACAAGAAAATGCCCTGAATTATGAATGTCTGCCATTTTACAATAACTATTCCTTGCTTTTAATTTTTTCCCTAAAAATGCAATCAATTTTTTTTTTAAATTTTTTTTACAGTGAGAAAATTCCCAGTTTTAGTTGGTGGAAATTATTTGATTACATCAATGATTAATAGGTTTAATGTAATAGCTGCAATGGAAATTTAGAAAGCAAACAAGCCAAACAGAGCTGAATGGATTTGGTATAATGATTTCATTAGGGATTTTTAAAAGTTTGCTTTATACTTGCAGTTTGTTGTCAGAAAGAATTGGCTGAATTCAGTCAAAATGGTTTGTTCTTTGTCCGTGGTCACCATAGCTACCATTTCAATCTGTTAACATATGTGGTATTATTTTGTTCCTTTCTCTTAAACTCTGTTCACAGATGCTGTCAAGATTTCCCTTTGTACATATCTGATGGGTTCATGCCAGGTTTGGCTCCGTGCCTTTCCAGGGCACAGCCTCTACCACCAGGACAAGGTGGTTCAGCCCTCGGTGCAGCGATGGAGACGGGATTAGAAGCTGGGCTGGGGATGGCTCCCACTCCACTAAGGCATGGGATCAGTGAGAAATACCTTGGGAAGACATTGTCAGAGGTGTACCATTCTTCTGAAGAGGTGGGTATTGCTGTGGCAGCTCCTTGGCTGCCATAAATCAGAACAAATGCACTTGTTTTAGTAGAGGTGTCGTGTCTGCTGTAGTCAGGCCCTGTGATGTTGCTCATTACACAGGTTTTGGGTAAGGAGCCAAGAGATGAAGGGAGGCATGGCTACAACATTTTAAATAAATAAGTAATAAGACTGTACAGCCTCTGTTCTTTTGCTTTTTCCAGTCTTAGGAAAGGTTCAGGTTCCCACTGAGGATGGAGGTATATCCACTCTGTGCTATGGAGGGGATTGGAATATTTAGTGGAGATCAGATTATCCAGATTTCGTATTTTAATTGGCATTGAGTGAGGAAAAAAAATCAGATTTCTCTATTGCTGAATGTGAAGGTGATTGAGATGGCTTCATTTTCTTTCCAGCTGTGAAGCAGTCAGGTAAATATATTGATGTATGGATGCAGTACAGTTTATAGTGAAGCTGTAAGAGATATCAGTCTGGAAAATACACAATTTCCTTTCAACAAAGCACTCACTGTAGAGAGTAAAGTTAAGGTGAGTCTGTATATTTATATTTTTAAGAGCATAAAAGCATTTGTTTAAAGCTCTGTGGCTCTGATTTTTCAGAGCCACTGAGCACTCTGCTCTCTGGCTTCTTTTAACTGGAGATGTAGGTTTTCAGCATTTCTGACAGCCAGGCCCCCTTTACTAATGCCTGCAGAGAGTAGCTGGAGAAAGTGTGAGAAACATTATTGTAATGAGGGGCTAATTCTGCCTCTCCTTCCTGCCTCAGTGCAGATGAAAGAGTGCCTGCAAGTCGTGTTATGTGCACAGGAAAAGGGAATTCTGATTACTGGCTCTGGCTCCCCAGGGGCAGGGATGATCTCCTAGCACAACTCACAGTAAGTCACATCTGCATTTCCAGTATAAGGCCCCTTTTTAAGGACTCCTAGTTTAGCTATAAAAATTCACTTAGCATGCATGAATAGAAACCAAATTGACAAGATAGACCATAACTGCTCTGAAAGGGCCATTAGTTCCTGTCGTATGAAAAATCCACATTTTTAAAAAGCAAGTATTATTCACATTTGCACAACAGGCTGTAACTGTTCCTTCTAAGTCATTATAGACTGTATGGAAATAATAATTTTCAAAATCACTATTGATACCACAGGCACAGAAACAGCAGGAGACAGATGCCTTTGCTTGATATTAATCCAGAGCTTTCCAGTGCCACTGAACAGGCTGGGATCAGTTTAAACCTTTGATTTACACCAATGTAACTGAGAGGAGGAAGACCACAGAATAAAGATTTGGTCTGATATCTGAGTTTGGTGCAAGGTTTCTGGTGTCATCAGAGGAATCCCAGAGGGGCAGTGGCTGTAAGAGGGTATCAATGAAAGACCATCCATCTCCTGTGCTCAGTGCTGCTGGGCAGGGGAAATGAATCTGTATTTGGTGTGTTCCATGTTTAATAAGGGGAAAGCTTGGGGCAGATAGGAATGTAGCTTTTTTTTTTTTAATTGTGATTTTAAGAAGTACTAGGTCATGGCTTTTTAGAAAATTGTTTCTTTTGGTTCATGATTAGTGCCTCACTTGACACCAAACAGAGGGTCCACTGATTTTTAAAAATTTCTTTTCTGGGTTTTCATGTGTTGAGGGTTTTCCTTAGACAAATACCAGTAAGGAACTAACTTGTATTTCTCTCTCCTCCCTCTGACATCATTAGCATTTGAGATTTCCAGATTATATTTAGGCTGAATGAAGAGAAAGTGTACAATCAAAAGCTGGCACTAGAGTTCTGTTGAGCTGTGCTGCCTTAGGGATGTGGTCACAGAACAAAGGGAATTTCCAGAGATTTCAGCAGAGCAATCCCCACATACATCACAAGGATGTGAATAAGATGATTTTCTTCACTCTCACGGACATACCAACATGTACATTTTTACTCTGTTGAAACAGCTTGCTTGGACCTGTGACTGTAAGTTTTGAGGGGAGTTTCAGATTAATTCTAGTAGTTCCCTTTCCCCTGGGGATGCCAGTGCTCAGAGGTCCTGTAGGACAGCCCTGGCTGCATTTCCCTAGGATCCCTGTGTCATGGGAAGAGATTGGCTGAGTGGTGGAGTAAAGGGGGCTGTGCTGGCAGAAAGCCAATGCAGGGATTTTTTGGTATGATTTCAGGAGCAAGCAGCTGCCTCTCAGCTGGACTTCTCTTCCCCATTGCTGGGATTACCAGGATAGCAGCAAGACAGCAAGACACATGGAGGACTCCCAGGGAGGCAGGAGACCACCTGGCCGAGGGACTTTGCTGTGCTCACAGCCCTGGGCTCAGCACCTCCATGGGAGGGGCTGCCTGACATGTTGCAAAGGTGGGACACCTCTCTCTGGGCAGTCTTTTCTGCTCCCACAGTGACATGGGCCACTGGAAAGCTGCCACCATTGAGGGGCTGGCATAGAGGAGTTTTCCTGCTGGATCCGGGCGGTGTTTCTCATGGTTTGTTATCCTTGACACAGCAGAGTCCTTCAAAGGTAATGCCACAGTAGTGCATGAGCTCCTGGGGAGAACCTCTTCCCTCACTCAATTTAAAAAAAAAAGGTTGATTTAAACACTGAAATGCAAGGGATTGTCTTCCTTGCAAAGCTCTTACAATGGGTATCTGCTGTTAAACCTCAATCCTTGTCCCAGTAGGTCTTGCAACAGAGAGCTCTCTGAAGGGATTGTGTGCATTTCTTGTTCAAAATCTCCTTTGAGAAGAATTATGTTATTTGACTCTCAGACACCCTAAAAATGATGGCAGCTGTCCCCTGCAATTCCATCCCACTTCACAGACTAGCACTGCTCACTGGCTGCCCCAGAGACAAGTGGAATGGAAGTCTATAAAAAGAGAGTGGTGTATTCCCAGGTTAAGTGCTGTGTTAACTGCAATCATCCCTATGATTAAGTGGCTCCCTAAAAGGAAATTTTTTCCCCCCATATGTTTTTTTAAGGAGTGATGAATCTCTTCACACAGTGTGTCTCTCATCAGATATGGAGATTAACTTAAACACAGAACTGACTGAAGCAAACCCATCAGCTATCTGAGGTTTTCTACTCTGATTTTCCTGCATGTCTCATCCTCAGGGAGGGGAAGGTGCTTGTCCCACCTCACTCAAGGTTTGTTCTTTAGGAGAAGGCACCAGCTACGGAGGGGTTAATACCACCAGGGTCTGTCTCACCTTCCCTCACTGCTGTGATTTCCCATTTTCTCCTCTTGAGCTCTTCTCCAGGGCTGATCAGAGATGCAGGATGGGGGCAGGATGCGGTGCAGGGGCTCACAGGGCTCCTCAACAGCTTCAAGCTGAATTCAGTGAGAGGAGCTCCCAGGGGGAAAGGGAGGAAGTGGGGTCCTGTGAGGCAGCCTAGGGTGGCAGGGAAAGCTGTGTGCCCCTGCCAAAAAGGAGCCAAAACTCTGCAAAGGGGGTGGCGACAGTAGCATGTACAGATGGGGGACTCCTGTTCCATCAGCTTCACAAGCTGTGAAACATCTCCTAGCACAAATGCTGAAACAAACCCACTTTGCTGGGGACAGACAGGGTGTTCTCTGCAACTCTGCTCACAAGATTGTCCTGTGCTCTCATCCCACTGCTCTCCCTGGCATCACCAGCCTCTGCCTCTGTGCAGGATTCCAGCCTCATCCTCTCCTTCCTCCCAGGCCATCTCTTGGTGGCTCCCCTCTAGGTCAGCCTGGAGCCCTGCAGGCCAAGGCAGTGTTTCCTCAGCTGCAGTGGCTGCCCTGCTCCTGCCATGCTCACCCTGCAGCTGCCAGCAGCCCTTTTCCTGCCTCCCACTGCTGATCCAGCCCCAGCTCTGCACCCTCTCACTCCCACCACAGTTTCCCCCCTCGCTTTTTTCCGCTGGCCTCCCACTCACTACAGGATATGAGCCATTCTCTCCAGTGGGAAATAAAAGTTTGGATTAAAATTTACTATATAATTCCTTCTCTAAAAGCAACTTTTAGGCTGAAAGGCTCCAAGGACAAATTTCCTAAGGCCCACAAGAGATTTAGGGACAGATTTTAAGTCATTTAGTCACATTAAAATGAAATTAGATTCCCCTTGGGTTTGTTTTTCAGCAAAAGAAGGTGCTTTTGAAGCTTGCACATCATGCCTGTTTGTTTCTTTTAGGCATATAAATGCTTCCAGAAATTTGGGGGTTGAACACCCAAGTCCCCTTGAAACCTAAGATAACCTGGCATCATCTCATGTGCATTCCTTCCAAATACCAGCCAAAATTGTTGTTGAACTTGGAGCACCAAGTTCTAAAGTAAGAGATAATAAACCCTATTTCCTCTCTGCATTTTCAGGCAGCTTAGCACCAGGGGAAAGAAAACAACCCATAGTGCTGACTGTATAAACATCTTGTTCAAAGGGTAACATTTTCCTGATTAATAGCCTTTCAGTATTAAAACCAGTCAGTTTAGAGCGTGATTAATTGTCCTTTTACTACTGGTAACCAGCTATATATATATATATATACACATAATATACATACATACATACATACATATATACTTGTGAACACACAGGAACATTCTCACTGGGGTAAGCATTTTTAGTGCATCTGTTTTTAAGGAAAATACATTTTGAAGGAGGTGAGAGAGCTATTTCCTACAACTTCAGCTAATGGGAAGGGTTTTAACTCTCGTAACCCTTTGTTGCAAGAACTAGCAGCCCCGAGGATGCTATGAGCACTGCTGTCCGGGGAAAAGGCTTGGAACACTCACCTGGCCAGGAAGGAGGCCAAAAAAGAGACAGTAGAAACTCTTCTTTTCATCCAGGGAGTAAAAGTTGTCCAGTTGTTGGGCATCCTGGCTGCATTTCTACTTAATCTGTATTTTATTTCTGGGACTTACAGGGTTAATGACAATAAGAAA